TGGAAGATGCTTTGTCTGAATCTTCCAGCGATACTTCTCCTGGAGAAGAAGTTGCAACTGAGGAAGAAGCAGATGCAGCCCTGACTTTCTTGAGAGGCCTGAGAAAAGGCCAGTCAGAAGCTGAAACCAACAAAGATAAGAAAAAACAAAAGAAGAAAAGAAGGCCGAACAAGAATCCAAAAAGCAACAGCTGAAAGCTGCCAAGGAAGAAAAGCAGAAGAAGCTGGAAGCTGAGAAGCTTGCCAAGCAAAAGGCAGCAGCAGAAAAATGGAGCAAAAAGCTAGAAGAAGCAACCCAAGTAGGAGAAGACGAAAAAGAGACGAAAGTCAAAAAATGTTGAGCATTGTGAGCAAAGAGGTAGCAGACCTCAAAAAGGCTTGCAAGAAAGCCAGCTCTAGCGATTGGGGCAAGCATGAGCTGGCCAATTTGTCCAAGTGCAGGGATGAGCTGGAGGATTTGCAGATGGACTGCCTGGAATCTGTGAAGGAAAAGTTGCTGCAGTCAGCTGCTGCTTTGAAAGCATCCAAGAAGCTCATCGAAAAATAGCAGGCCTGAAAGAAGGCCACTGGAGCTGCTGTCTTGAGCCTTGCTTGAAAGAAAGCAAGCTGCTTTTTTAACTGACCTGAGCAAGAGGCGAAAAAAGTCTTTGCACTCCATTCCATGGGTTTCAGCTGCACGCAAAGGACACACACATGTACAACTGCAGCCATTTTGGCCCATATGGTAGGGATCAAGCAGCAGCTAGAAATTGAAGCAAGTAAGAAAAGGAAAGCCGAGGGCCTGCAAGAAGGCCAAAATTTGAGCAAAAAATTGTTGCAGCTTTGGTCCTTAGGGAAGCTGAGTAGCTCAGGGCTTCAGGAGCTTGCTTCTTCAGCAGCTGCAGATGGGCTGCAAAACAAAGAGCTTGTAGAGCTGAGCGGTTTAGGTAGCTTTGGTGCCCACCCAAATAACTGCCACCGAGACATCCTCAGATTGTTGAAAAACAAATTAAAGAAGTCAAAATATGGAGGCTTGAAAGAAAGCCCGACTTTGTCCATTGAGGTGCCAGCTCTAGACTCCAAAGAAGAGAGCCCAAAGACAAAGGCTATGTGTCACATAGTTGCGCCACACCTCTTGGTCTGGCAGCTTTTTGAAAGCTATCCCAAGTTGACACCGTCTTTGTTTGGCTTGCAGGTGAAATCCATGAGGTCATAGCATGGAGCTTCACAGCACTTTTCCATGGCTTGCATCCAGCAGTGAATTGGAAAGGCAATGCTTCGCCTCCAGCATTACAAAGGCTTGCAGGAAAGCCAATTACACCACAAAAGCTTTGCTTTTGGGTGTGGAATTTCTTGGGGGATCTTGAATATTATGCAAACCATTTGGGGTTTCCCCATTGGAGCTCTCACAAATTTTGCTGGCTGTGCGATTGTAACAAGAAGGACCCTAGCAAAAACCCTTTTGAAGGCTTGAAAGAAAGCCCCTGTACCAAGCACACTCTTTTCACAATCCCTGGTGGCTTGCCTGAATACAGGGTGTGCTTGGATGTGCTGCACACCTTGGACTTGGGAGTGACAGCCAGGATGGCAGGGTCTGTCCTCCACGCTTGGGCTTTTCCACCTGGTGCCAAGAAACAGGACGGGTCAAAAAATACAGCCGAGATCTGGGCCTTGCTTAAAGAAGCGTACAAAGATCTTGGCATCAAAGAGAAGTTCAACAACCTAGTGGTTTCCATGTTTACCAACCATGAAAAACCATGGTCCCAACCAGCCAAACTCAAAGGCCATGCAGGTGAGATCAGGCATTTGGCACCTGCTTTGGCATTGGTGGCTTGGAAGAAAGCCAATGAGTGTGAGGCTCATGCCCACATGGCTGAATGCTGCCACCAGATGGCAAAATTCTATTCTTTCATTGCAGAGGACGATCTTTTCATGAAAGACAGTGTGAAGGCAAGCCAGTGCTTGAAAGAAAGCATGCTGCAATACATTTGGTTGCACAGCCATTTTGCTGATGAGGTCAGGTTCACCTTGACTCCAAAGTGCCATTTTGTAGCGCACATTGCTTTGATGACACAATTCCAAAACCCAGCTACTTGTTGGACTTACAAGCAAGAATCCTTCATGGGATACATAGCCACTTTGGGCCACAGCTGCTCACATGGCACCAGAGCTGCCAGGCTCAGTGAATCTTTCATCACCAAATACACCATGGCCCTGCAGCTCAGGATCAATAACATGGTGTGATGGCTTGAAAGAAAGCCAAAGGTGCCAGAGAGCCTTGCAGGAGCATGCTTGAAAGAAAGCAGTTTGTTTCACCCATTCTTGACTTGCATAGCATGCGCCCAACAGAGGAAAAGCCCAAGGCAAGGGATCAATATCGATCAATATCACAATCAATATTTTCAATCAATATTGATCAATATTGATCAATATCATTATCAATATTATATTGAACATGATATTGATTTCTGAGATCGGATCCTCAGGGTATGGTGACAAGTATTACTTTGTTGATTTTCTTGCAGACTTTATCAGGTTTCGGCTTGAGGTTGCCACGGGTGACGGCTTGTGCCAGGCAAATACCTGACCTAAATCTGGCAGGGTCGCCAAAGCTTTCGCTCCCTGCACTGTCTTTCAAGAAGGTTGGGGAGAGCAAAGCAAACGCTCAGGACCAAGAGGAGGGCGCAAGCGTTTCATGGATCAGTTGTGGACCAAAACCTTTTGAGCAGAAACCCTTTCAACGGGGCTGACTGAAAGGCATTTTCCAAGCAAGCTCATAGCACGCAGGTCAGGATTGCAGTTTAGGAGGACTTGCGCCCAGCCATCGCAGCTTGGAAGCTGGGAAGAAACGCAAGCAACTGGGTGTGAGCTTCCAGAATTTCGAAGGATAAGGAGCTTGTTATATTGTCGCTGACTTGCAGGGCTACAAATTGCACAGCTTAGCGTGTGGAGATGTAAAATGTGGAAACTAAAAAGGTGTGGCAACGAGAGAGATTAGACATGGGAGGCTGGTGGCTTCATAAATGCAACAGGCTCAGAATTGGGTGCGGGGGCTACACGCAGAGCGATCATAATTCTACTAAAGCTTGAAACGTTCTTTGACCAGCAAGAACAACGCGGAAAGCCACGCAAGCAGCATAGTGCTGGCCAACAAGAAGGCAACAAAAGCAGGGCAGCCTGACTGCTTTTGCGCGTAAATCTAAATATTTCAATTCCTTGCTTAGGGGGGCATATTGGTCAGCAGTTTCCTGATCCTTCATTTGGTGACAAGAAAATGAAATTTCTAGCGCGCGCAGTATAGGGCATTACCATCCATACTAGCACGTTTTGTTTTGTGGGCCGTGCCTTGAAATATTGATCGCTCTTTGATTTTTTTCCTTCGATTCAAGCCGCAAGCTGCCTCAGAATGCATCACGCCACAAAAAAATCATCCGTCATGAATTTCACCAAATTTCACGTTTTCAGGCCTTATAGACGATCTATAGATGTAAATTCACGAAATTTCACGGAATTTCACGCTGCTATTTTTCGTGAAATTTCATGAAGTTTCGTCAAATTTTGTAAATTATCATGAATTATTCGTGAATTTTCGTGAAATTTGCTGAATTTTCATGAAATTTCGTGAATTTTCATGAAATTTCGTGAAATTTCGTGAATTTTCATGAAATTTCGTGAATTTTCATGAAATTTCACGAAATGTCATGAACTTTCGTGAAATTTGGTGAATTTTCGTGAAATTTCGTGAAATTTGGTGAATTTTCGGGAAATTTTGTGAAATTCGCGAATTTTCATGAAATTTCGTGAAACTTCGCGAATTTTCATGACATTTCGTGGATTTTCATGAAAATTTGTCAATGTGAATGTTGTCAGAAATTTCGTGGATCTTCGTGAAGTTCTCTCTCAACTTTGCAAATTTTGCAACTATTTTCCCCTTTTGCGGCAATTTCGGTCAGTTGCGCGCCCAAGAAATTTCGTCATATGTTCTTAATCGGTGTTTTCTATTTGATTGTGGCGGGCAGAATCTCTTGCAAAATCCATATTCTTTATGTTGAGCGAGAAAACTATTCCGAAATTGTTTCAGAGACCTGTCTCTTTGCGATGCCACGAAAGGATGTGGGGCCGAAGCTTTCATTAAGATTGCACGCGGGCGCCTATACGCCTGTCCGGTTGACATATCTGGCACCATTGATGGTTTTTGCCCACCACATGAATGAAGCCGCTTTGCGAAAAGACAGTTGAAGAAGCATTGCCTATGAGAATGTTGCTCCTTGTTGCCGATTTTGCTTAAAGCCTTTGGCCTACCCACCATGTTACTCAACCAGAGATGACGTTGGCCGCCGGAGTCAGGCAAGTTTTCACGAAGCTGGCAAGCTTCAACACTTCCATGAGTTGGTGCTCTGGGCAAAACAATAAATCAGGACGGTAGGTCGCAAAGCGCGCTCGCAGCCATGAATGGCTGTTAAAACATCCATGGGGCCAGGAACCAAGTAGTCAGATTTAGTGAAAAGACCGGCGCGAGCAAGGAAATCGTGGGGAATGGAGTGGCCTGATCTCGCATGGCTTGGGAAAGGACGTATAGACGATCTATAAGTCCTTTGGGCAACGGTGAGCTATACATCCGCTTGACCTGTGTTGGGTTGTAGTAGTAGGAGTCGTAGTAGCAGTAGTAGTAGTGATAGTAGTAGTAGTAGTAGTAGTAGTAGTGGTGGTGGTAGTAGTAGTAGTACAGTGAAAGTAGTAGTAGTCGTAGTCTGAAAGCATTCTGACGCACAAACTTTAAAAAACATGATATCGCAAATTTCTGGCAGGCCAAAAAGCATGCAGACTATTATTGGTGCGGTTTACAATCGATAGATTAGAATTTGTTCAACCATTTTGGGTCTGGAATTCGAAAAAAGTATTGCAAATTTCTGGCCGGCAGATTATTATTGATGCACGGCTCATAGATGACATGTTAACATTACTCATATTCCTTTCCCTTTGCAAATGAATGGTTTGAACCCTCGACTCGTCTCGGCGCACGCCACGTAGGCTGAGATGATGATGATGGAGCACGTGCGCGACACTGGAAGCATCACTTCCTCCATAGAATGAAACCAAGTCTTTTCAATTTGTCCAATCTTTTCTTTTTGTTCCACCGTCTTTTCCAAGCATCGCTTCCTCCAAACTTCTGCGGTCCATGGCGTATTGCTCGGACATCATCGTCCCAAAGACCGTGACCTCGTCGACATGAGAATAGAAAGCAAACAATGAAAGAAACAAATCAAAAGGACAGTGTGAGTTTGGTGACAGATGAAGTTGGTTCTTTTGGTGACCAGGGCCCTGGCTAGGGTGAAAGACAAACAGGACAATAGAAGCATGGATGTGTTGACCTGCGCACACCCGCCGACATCGTAGTAAGCAGAACGGATCAAGCGTGAGAAGGAATGATCAAACAAAGACCATACACGCAAAGACAACACAAGCGCAAAACAACCTTGCAACTGTTGCGATTTGGCCGCTGAAGGTATTCAGTTCTTGGAGAATGAGCACGCAAGCAAAATAGAGGCCTGAAACCCCTAGCAAAATGTGAGTCCTTACAATAAGGAACACATTGGCGCCCGAACCCTTTCTTATGTTTAAGGCTTCAAGACTTTGAAGCAACCTACCTTTAAAAACACTTAACGTTGGTTCAAACACAATGTCCGCGCTTGAAACACATTCATGAGCAAGACACACGCACAACTCTTCTTGGAACAACCGTGCGCATTTGCAACACATCGTTTGCGACTGAATGCATTTCATGTTTGTTTTGTTGATGTCACTTTGTCTCTTCTTGTAACCTGATATCAACGTAACGTTGTTTCATGTTTTTCCTTTTGTTTCAGTTTGTCTAACTTTCTGAACCTTTTCGTTTCGAAAACACACCGCTCCTTTGTTCTCCTTTTTCGTTTCGCGCCCGGCCATGGCGCCCAGAATCTTGAACGTCTGGACCTGGCCGAAAGGGAGATCGCGCAAACAAAACGAGAGAAAACAAAACAAGGAAAAACAACTTCTTGAAAACCAAATATATAAATATTCTCCTTTGAAAAATGAAAGTGTGTGCATGAACCCCTTGGAAACATATAGGGCTTCCTTTGAAGTGGTTCCTTCTTTCTTTGTTACAGCAAGGGGGCTGGTTGATATCGGTGGGGACGCTCACCGACGTACCTGCTTTGAACACAACGACTCCCATTGCTCAGGCTGCTTCTAGTTCTTCAGGCACTGTAAAGCGCTAACAAGCTCTGCAGATGCGCGCGGTCGCCGTCATCCTCGTCCGCTTTTCGACTTCTTCGAGTTTGATGGATTTGGGTGAAATTTTTCTTTAAGGTCTCATGGTCGGTCAGACCGCTTTACCTATACTCATCTAGGTTCCGTTGGTTTTTCACTTAGGCTGGTGTGTGGCAAACCGCAGTCAAGTCCGTACGTTTCACAAGTGTGTCTCTCCTTATAGTGAGAGAGCCCCGGGCTTACCCGAGGACTGTCCCCTGTGGCCCCGTCGAACGGGGGTTTGTCTCTGTTCCCCTTGCCTGGGAACGTACGTGTCCGGAGCGGACAGAGTAGGCTTACGCCCAAATTTTTTGCTTGCATTCAAGTAGGCAGCCCTGGGGCACGCCGGAACGTGTCCGCAGCGGACTAGAGTAGGCAGCCCTTGGGCAGGCCACAGCGACCCAAAGCTTGTCAAGCTCCATGCATTGGGACCTGTTGGAGCCTTAGAGTGTACACACAGCGCAAAAAACCCAAACCTGGCACCTAGGTCCCTTTCATGAAGTCTAGCTTCTTTCCGGCCCGTCGATCTGGTCCCCTTTTCATCCTTCCCCTTCATACACACACACACTCTTTCTTTCCTTCTTTTGTTTCATATCTTTCCCGGCTTCATGTCCCGTCATCTCACTCCGTTCTTTCTCTTGCGTACATCGGTCTGGCCCTTAGCGCGTACGCGCGCAACTACTTAGCCCAGGTTTCAGGTCGCCCATGTCTTGACAATGAGGTACGGTTCACTGTTTGTCCCTGTACGTTTGGCTTCCCCTTCATCGCAACCACACACCTATAGAAATGCGTACTGACTCGAGTGCCGCACGCTACATGCCCACCTAGGTTTCAACGCCTAAGGGTTCAGGTTGGGTGGTAACTGAAAAACCTCCCAAGGAACCTCCGAAGCCCCCGAGCTCGAACTGCGGAAACGCGACAAAGTGACGATGGTCCGTGCATGACTGCAGGCGCATTAGCACTTTACCAAAAGAAGAGGAAGAAAGGTGGCCGCCAGCTGCGTCTTACAATGCGCCCAGGTGCGCCAAGCAGGTACGTTTTCACCACATCTTGGATGGGTCTTCATTGGCCCACGCCATCCAAGTGTCCATGGGCCCCCTGGTAAAAAAAAAACAAAGAACAAGATGGAGCCCACGAACCCGAACGCAAACACGTTCAAAAAGCTACATATGTCCAAATGACACTCTTGTAGGACACTCTTGTGGGACACTCTTGTGGGTCACTCTTGTAGGAAACTCTTGTCAGACACTCTTACGGGACACTCTTGTGGGACACTCTTGTGGGACACTCTAGTAGGAAACTCTTGTGGGACACTCTTGTAGGACACTCCTGTGGGACACTCTTGTGGGACACTCTTGTGGGTCACTCTTGTAGGAAACTCTTGTGGGGCACTCTTACGGGGCACTCTTGTGGGACACTCTTGTGGGACACTCTTACGGGACACTCTTGTGGGACACTCTTGTGGGACACTCTTGTGGGACACTCTTGTGGGACACTCTAGTAGGAAACTCTTGTGGGACACTCTCGTAGGACACTCTTGTGGGACACTCTTGCGGGACACTCTTGTGGGGCACTCTTGTAGGAAACTCTTGTGGGACACTCTTGTAGGACATTCTTGTGGGACACTCTTAAGGGACACTCTTGTGAGACGCTCTTGCGGGACACTGTTGCGGGACACTCTTGTGGGACACTCCTGTGGGACACTCATTTGGGACACTCTTGCGGGACACTCTTGTGGGACACTCGTGTGGGACACTCTTAAGGGACACTCTTGTGAGACACTCTTGCGGGACACTGTTGCGGGACACTCTTATAGGACACTCTTGTAGGAAACCCTTGTGGGATACTCTTGTAGGACACTCTTGTGGGACACTCTTGTAGGACACTCTTGTGGGACACTCTTGTGGGGCAGTCTTGTGGGACACTCTTGTGGGACACTCTTATAGGACACTCTTGTGGGACACTCTTAACTCTTGTCAGACACTCTTGTGGGAGACTCTTGTGGGACACTCTTGTGGGACACTCTTCTAGGACACTCTTGTGGGACACTCCTGTAGGGCACACTCTTCGTACGAGACTTCCTCCAAAAGTCACGCTGCGAGGCTGCAAGACGAGCGTTTCGTACGAGACTTCCTCCAAAAGTCACGCGTCAAGTCTCAAAAACGAGCGTTTCGTAGGAGACTTCCTCCAAAAGTCACACGTCAAGTCTCCAAAACGAGCGTTTCGCACGAGACTTCCTCCAAAAGTCCAGCGGAAACACCCATCGGAGCCGCAGCCCTGCCAAGCAGTTTCGCGATTCCAGCCCCTCCAAACGACACCCGCTCACACGCCAATCCCAATGTGACAGCAACATTCACCTCTACCGCAGCCCACAACCTCCCGATTCCCTGCACCTGCCACGAATCTTTCCGCGTCCACACGTCTAACGCGCACAGAGAGTACTGCGCCTGCCACGAAATGTCACCTCCGTCACACATCGCAACCTCACGATTCCCTGCGCCTGCCACGAAAATCCCACTTCCACACCTCAAAACCCGCACAAAGTCCTGCGCCTGCCACGAAAAGTAACAATGTCATCTCATGTGAGCTTCAACAAAATTTGCACCACACCACACGTTTGGAATGATTTCGACCCGTTCTGAGCACACTCCCATCCACCAAAATCGGCATTTCAGCTGAGACTTGTCACGAAAACAGAGCTTCGATGCCACACCCTGAAACGCAAATCCCAATGGCACGGCCACATCCAACACCCCAAAAACACGACTCTCCAAACGCTAATCCCAATGGAACTGCGCAGCAAACTGCGGATCTCACAAAACGCTGCGCCTGTGCAGCGAAATGCATCACGTTTCTTGCGCCGCATCTCATTTTCATGCAAATCACAATGGAATAGCGGCGCAAACTGACACGTGACACATCCATGAAAAGTCACTTGCAAAAGCTTCCCCCAATGGCAGCGCCTTAGCGTCCTACTGCGGACGGTTGCGAACGGTTGCGAACATAGAAGCAACCCCCAGACCCCCAAGAGTTAAACGAGAACCCTTCGCTACGCATTCGGGAAAATAAACAATAAAGTTGACAATCCGATGGGATCCCTGTGACTTCAAGGGGCACACGCACACACGCCTCTCAGGGGAGGCCTAGTAGTCCATGCACCAAGTAAGTGGTAAGGCCAGGAGCCCCTAGTAGCGTCTCACTCTAAGGTCCCGACAGGAGGGAGGGGTAGGGAGAGAAGAGAAGAAAGAACAAGATGGAGCCCACGAACCCGAATGCAAACGCGTTCGAAAAGCTACATATCTCCAAATGACACTCTTGTACGACACTCTTGTGGGACACTCTTCTGGGACACTCTTGTAGGATACTCTTGTGGGTCACTCTTGTAGGACACTCTTGTGGGACACTCTTACAGGACACTCTTGTGGGACACTCCTGAAAGGCACTCTTGTAGGACACTCTTGTGGGACACTCTTGTAGGACACTCTCGTGGGACACTCTTGTAGGACACTCTTGTCGGGCAGTCTTATGGGACACTCTCTTGTGAGACACTCTTGTAGGACACTCTTGTGGGTCACTCTTACACGACAATCTTGTAGGACACTCTTGTAGGACACTCTTATGGGACACTCTCTTGTGAGACACTCTTGTAGGACACTCTTGTGGGTCACTCTTACACGACACTCTTGTAGGACACTCTTGTGGGACACTCTTGTAGCAAACTCTTGTGGGATACTCTTGTGGGACACTCTTGTGGGACACTCTTGTAGGACACTCTTGCGGGACACTCTTGTGGGATACTCTTGTAGGACACTCTTGTGGGACACTCTTGTGAGACACTCTTGTAGGAAACTCTTGTGGGACACTCTTGTAGGACACTCTTGTGGGACACTCTTGTGGGATACTCTGGTAGGACACTCTTGTGGGACACTCTTGTGTGACAGTCTTGTAGGAAACTCTTGTGGGACATGGGGCACTCTTGTAGGACACTCTTGTGGGATACTCTTATGGGACACTCTTGCGGGTCACTCTTGTGGGACACTCTCATAGGACACTCTTGTAGGACACGTTTGTGGGACAATCTTGTGGGACACTCTTGAAGGACACTCTTCTGGGACACTCTTCTGGGACACTCTTGTCGGACAATCTTCTGGAACACTCTTGTGGGACACTCTTGTAGGACACTCTTGTGGGACACTCTTGCAGGAAACTCTTGTGGGATACTCTTGTAGGGCACTCTTAAGGGACACTCTTGTGAGACACTCTTGTGAGAAACTCTTGTGGGGCGCTCTTATGGGACACTCTTGTGGGACACTCTTGCGGGACACTCTTGTAGGACACTC